CTGGCCATTTGTGACTTATCACAACCATTTCCTACGAGTGGATTTTTTGTCACTAGACAAGAACCGAGGAAGATTTAGAAGAGAATTTACCCTTGTAACCCCCTCTAAAGCTGACCATTCATCGTCCTCTGAGGTTGATATGCAATCTGCTAGACTCCTTGTAGACTTGGACCTCTCTTGCAACTTATCCTGTTTTGGATCATCAGGTACCGGTACAATCTCATCGGTATCAAGACCAGTATATGAATCTACTAGTGAAGAGTTCTGTGTCTTGCTCGTGGCATATTCATGAACATCATCCTTTATGGTTTCACTTTGACTCGTCGAGCCTAAAGAATTGCAGTCATTTTTTGGGGGTTCTAAGAACAAACAGACTGCAGCGCAGTCATCAATTTTTGACGTCGGGAATTTAAGACGCCAAGAACGGACTGCACAATCGACGAGAGCTCTCGCAGCAGTCCCACGAGTTGGTGCTGAAGCAATAATCTCGACAACTTCTTTGTTGGAGAGGGCGTCCCAAATCTGTACAGATATAATTCTGTTGTTATCAAATTTAGAATTGTTGCTGCAAAATATGGCATAACAGAGAAAAAAATATTACAATACGTCATTACTTATTATTAAATGAGCTACAATATTTAGACAGACCAAACTATACCTAGACATTAATTACCAATTACACTCCAACATGGCTTACAGGGTGTCAGAAACGATAACCATCCAAAGTTCATTCACAAGGACATTGCAAGAAATACACATGCTTTTTAAACATATGTATAGCTAAATCATAAATATTATTCCTAAGTTGTCATTCACATATCAATCTCTATAAATACTTTTGAGGTGGGGGGAGCTTCGTACATGTCTTACATCCGACACATGACAGTTTTGCACACACGTAGAGAAAGCTATAGGATAATCAAATGCAAATAGATCCCTCGGTCCTCTCTCACATGCAACATGCATAGACTTAGGACCTGTTTGGTTGCATGTGTTTTGCAAAGAAAAGTTGGATAGTTGTGGGCTCCATGTGTAACTTTCTCAACCTTTCTCCCTTCCGTTCATGAAAATGTTGATGTGCCACTCATTACTCCTCAAATCAAAATCCAGCCAAAAGGAGAGGATTTTGCTTGGAAAGTGAAAGTTCTGTCAGAAATCTAATGGAATCGAAACCAAACAAAAGAAAAACTCAAAGGGAAGGTGAAAACATGGGTGTACATTTTCCATGCGTCGTAAATCCTCAACTTTCATGAAAAACATCATAACAACCCATAAAGCTAATGGCCACAGTAACAATGAAATAAGCTGATTAAAAAGTTACCTAGCTGAAACAAGCTAAAGATTTTCTTTATGTTATTAGCTGAATCTATCAAGAGAAGAAGATACCCCATCAGTGGCAAGAACTATAAATTCATCCTTCTCTGTAAGCCGGCGATAGGAGATATCAGGAACCGAAATTAAACCATAATCTTTCAAGCAGAAGTCTCCGAATGCTCTAGCCATAGCCAAGCCAGGCGAGTCATTGTTTGGCAACCAAACGCGTGCCACCTCAGGCTCATCTTGCAAGGCAAAAACTCTTCCATTGCATTGCTGGATTCTGGCAGCTTCTCCTAAACCAAGGAAGTCATTATCAAAAGTTTAGACTTAAAATATAGCCATGAATCTTATGAAATCGTAAAAAGTTACCAAAAAGGAAGATTGTGCTGCCAATTTGGCTTTCTATAAATGGTAGTAAAATGTTTTGGCTAAAACCTCATAATTTGAAGAAAATGTACAGATTTCCAATGTGCCTGCAGTTACGGATAAGCTATATTGCTATGAGACCTTAGGAGGCTTACAGAATAGCAAACTAGATATAGCTTAATTGACAAAGAGATGCATTCCAGGGATAGGAACAGAAAGCAGCATACGTGGAAGATTTGGCTTCAAATCCACAGTCAACTGAACAGCAACCAAGCTGTTATCTGTATCTCGTGTGCCCAAAATTGCCCGTGAATCTCCAATGTTTCCAATTACAAGATCTTCTCCCTGGATGATCAGCAAGTAACAAAATTATAGCAGTCTGCAATATGGAAGATTTTGAACTGTGGTAGAAACAGCATTAGAGGAAAAAATGTTACAAAATGTCACCTGCTTTATTATAGTAACAGCAGTAGACCCGCTGCAAAAACAATCAATTGTCGGGTGAAGTTTCAATTCTTTATCCATTAACTTGAAGGCCTTAAGAAAAGACTGTTTTATTGTCAGATACATCTCAGGTGGTTTCTCATTCGTATCAACTTCCACAGACTTTCCCCACTCGTCATCAATGCTAGTAGATGCTACCTCTTCAGAATCCATATTCGAAGGATCAAAACCATTTTGGCGAGGGCTGTTTTGACTACTAATATTACCTGTCCATTCGGTATACAATTTGAGAGGAAGAGAATCTCGAACTTTTCTAGCCACCATATGACCAAAAGGACCATGCCCGTCAAATACTCCACAAAAGATAGTGTCATTTCTTGATGCAAAATTCTGCAACCACAGCCATCGTATTTTTCTTTGAGGCAAAAGAAAAGAAAATAAAAGAAAAGTATTCCTATAAAAAACAGAAAGAAATAAAACAAGAAAAGAATTATCAACGGTGACAAAAATATACAGTACATTAATATTAAGCCATATGAGCTATAAAGAGACTTTTTAATGGCTTCCTTACCCATGTCAGGCCTGCAAGTGGGAGACCAATATTTCATGGACACATGCCATGGACTTGAACAATATATTGTTGTTCAACCTAAACTTTGATAGTTCGGGCTTAAGATACAGGGGAACAGATATTTGCATTTGGACTGAGATAACTGGTTAAGATTTCTACCTACTTACCTGATAGCTAAGTAAAAAAAAAAAGAAGCTTTGCAACAAATGTTAGTGCTGCTGCCTTTATCGTTTTTCTAGTGCATCATATTGTCATACAGTTTTGAATTTTATAGTCTGTAATTTTGAAGACCTTGTTACATGTCACTTCATGTATATTTTAAATACGGTATTATATATAATATTTGTGAACCACTATCTACCTTCTACAAATTTTCCATGTTCTGTGTTTGTCTCCATGTATGTACCTGTATCAATACACAAGTTTGTGAAACATAGCTTGAGTGTAGATTTACAAAAAATACACAAATAAATATTTAGCTGCCATGAGTTTCCAATATCAATTATGTTAAAACTTATCAAAACTATCCTCAACCCCTTGGTTCTCCATGTCTGTAGCTCCTGGCTCAATGTGCTTGAAATTTATATGGTATTCTTTTATTCTTATGATTACTATTTTTACCAAGCATCTGAAGTTTTGTCGGGTTTTGCATGTACATATTCTTCTTTTGGACCATGTTTATTGTTGTCCCCTTTTCTTTCCTTGTCTGGACTTGTTCCTACCTCCTGGCTCAATGTGCTTGAAATTATATGGTCTTCTTTTCTTTTTACCATTAAGAGTTTTACCAAGCATCTGAAATTTTGTCAGGTTTTACATGTACATTTTCTTTTCTGTGGACTATGCTTATTGCTGTCATTAAAAACTGTATGGTACTGCAAAAGTGTTAGGATTGGAAAGGCTCACTGTCAGATATAGACTAGGCTAATCTGCCTAGGCTCAATTGACTCAAAAGGATTAATCCTATTTGAGTCATGAATCCAAGAATATTTAATCATATATCCATCTCACTCCCTTTCTAATGTGGGACTGAATCCCACCTTATGTCTTTTTCCAAACCAAACCCACACTTAACCAAAAGGATGCGAGACACTCCTTACAAAAGGTTCCCATTACTCTATGAAATCTCTATCAGCTGTGAGGCATGAGTTAATCACGTAATGATTTCACCTATCACGGTGGTGGTGGTGGTGGTGGTGGTGGTTGAAAATGGGTGACTACCTTAAACACAAAGCATATTCACCACCTTGGCACAATTGAAGTCATTATTTGTATGAGTGGTATAAATGTTGTGTGTAATTAATCTTAGTTGATGAGACTACAATGTAATTACTAACTAAATACTAAATAGGGTGACTTGCTATTTGGAGATTGGTTCTATAGAAGCTAAATATCCATGGAGAAGATGTGGTATTCATAGCAAAGGAGAGGGCCACAAAGATATAACAATTTCACCTATCACAATGGTGTTGGTGGTTGAAAATGGGTGACTACCTTAAACACAAAGCATATTCGCCACCTGGGCACAATTGAAGTCATTATTTGTATGAGTGGTATAAATGTTGTGTGTAATTAATCTTAGTTGATGAGACTACAATGTAATTACTAACTAAATACTAAATAGGGTGACTTGCTATTTCGAGATTGGTTATATAGAAGCTAAATATCCATGGAGAAGATGTGGTACTAGTCATAGCAAAGGGGAGGGCCACAAAGATGTAATAAGTGCACATCTATTTAGATTACAGTAAAATATTATAGCTTAACGCCGTGACATACAATTTTAGAAAGAAAGCATGTTGCCAACTTCAGATGTTTTCTGTTCCTAACATATATAGAGAAGAGTCATGTCCATGCATATTCATTACACTGATCAGTATCCAGTGATTTGTAACTTCTTTTCTACAACAGAATAAATAATCAGAAATCAAATAAATTCTTTATGCAAACAAACTGGCTAAATGAAGTGAAAGAAAAGAAACCAAAACACGTCTTTCCACTTAAAAATGTAACTATCTAGCATGATCCATTACACTCCGAATATAATTAGTCTGAAGAATATATTGAACATGAAGAAACTAAAACATATCATGCAACATTTAATATGATAAAGATGGGCAACATGGATCACAATAAAAGATAAATCAGAGATATTATACATACAGAAGCCGGAATTATGTATGCACTTCAACCACAATAAATTCATACCTCCATAAATCAGTAAACTAATAAGTTTCAGAAATTAGAACGAAATCCTATCTTTCAAAGCAAAATAACCCAAGAATTGGTCAAAGTGTAAAAGCATCACTGCTACTAAATTAAAGAAATAGCTCCGGTGAGCTCTATAAGTACTCACAGCATTAGAGTTTTCTCCAAATAGCAATACCAAATCTCACGTTCCAAACAGATGACTGGTAAAGGAGGCAAGCAACAACCAACGACCAAAGCTATCTGCAATGGTTAGGTAAGAGGCTTAAACCGGTTCTAGCATTCCAACTTCGATGGACAACACTATCTCAAAGGAGGTTATTTGAGTCAAACGGAAAAAACCACATGATCAAGCCTTTACAGTCCATTGTTTCCCATGAAACGACCATTAACAGAGATCCATATTATGATAACCAGCATTAAAAGGTAGTTGTGTATAAGCTTTCACTGTGTATTCAAATATATATTAACGCCGACGCGTCCAAATATCCATTCTGCTCTGCCTGATCAACAAATATAACTAAGATGGTAATAACGATGGCTTAAATTAATTCATTGTCTTCAACCCCATCAAGCAACACTACCTCCTCGACGGGGTATTTGGGTTTGGCCCTAACAAATTGTAGCGTAAAGATCCTTCCTTTGACTTAATTGCTACGGGCATACGAACACTACTATTTCCTTAAATCGGTAGGGGTTTACATAACATGACTGTCAAAACCATAAAAACCTCTTCTTCCCCACCAAACAAAACGTAGTTCCATCATTTCAAACTCCATGGCTGACAATATTTCCTTAAAAGGGTCCTCTGTGTCTGATCAATAAAACATCGCTGAAGAATCATTACTATCCTTCCTTTCCACCAGAACACCATCAACAGAAAATTCCAATAACATTACAAAGAAAAACTAACACTAGTTTATTAAAGAGCTAATCTGAATAATCAAGATATTATCATCACCAAATTTCAAAAATAAACCCTTCTTTCCACCAAAAACCTTTTCTTTCCACCAAGACACAAAAAATAACCTCGCCAAATCACATAAAACCCAACAAATAACAAAATTTTCTCAAGTGGGTCATCTGGGTTCAATCAAAATAGCAAACTTTTGAAGAGCGAAATACCTCCCAAACCAGCATTGCATCCTGATTAGTCCCCTTCTTCCCTTGCTGGGTGTAAAGGCAAGCAGCCTCACTTGCCCCGTTCATGAACAACCTCCCATGCACGCGGTGGAGCCCCCCCGCCGCCACCATCGCCGCCGGAGATCGCCGGCCGGCGATCTGAAGACCCATCATGCCCTTTATCTCTATTAGCCTTTGCTCTTCTCTTCTCTCTTCGATTTCTGGCAAAGGTTTTAGAGGAGAAAGAGGACATTTTGGATGGGTTGAGGGCAGAATTGGAAGAATGTGAGGATATGCAGGAACCCATTAATGGAGAGGTGGAGAATTTGGAGCTGAGCTCAGTTCATGAGAGAGAGAGAGAGAGAATCAAAGGGTGGTGATGCGTGACATGGAAACAGGTGGATTTTAATGTAATTATCTCTAAAAAAGATATTAAAAAAGGTGAAGGCCCTTCTTGGATTCTTGAGATCAGTTAGTTTTTTTTTTAATATAATTTCTTTGATATTTTAATTTGTTTGTTTTGAAACTGTTCTCTTAATTAAACTGCAGGAGAGAGAGAGAGAGAGAGAGAGAGAGAGAGAGGAGTTAATTAAATACGCGAAGGTTGTTTTTTAGCTTGAGATAAATTTTGTTTATACCCTCATTTGATTTTACTTTTTCTACTCAACCCCTTCTACCAACTAAATTATCTAGATAAGAATATATTTTAAATTTTCATTATACGCTATACCAAATAGTATACAGAACAAGCTGCCGCTTTCTGAATTTATTTTTAAGGCAATTTTTCTTATACGATGACTATTTTTGACGCGTCTATTTGCATGAAATAAAAGCTTGAAGAAAAAAGACTTGATTTATAAAATAGTATACAAGACTACAGTTTTATTATACAAAAGGAGTATATAAGCCGTGTAGAAAGCAACATAATCATATTAAACTACAGTAGCATTGCTTTTAAGACAAATTTTCTCAGAGTAATAAAAGTGAAGTAAAAGTCTTGGGAAATTGAGGTGTTAAGGAGAGTTTTTCTAGTGAGGGGGGGTTTACTTGGAAATCAAGCCTAAATAAGAGTATCAAATTAATTTTTTTCATTTTTTTTTAAATCAGTCAAGTTGCCGTTTATATACGGTGGATGGTTCCGTTGGAGCAAACCACATGGGAGTGAATGAAAATGATGAGGATCAAGGAGGTGCCTCTGGTTGTAAAATGTTGATAGTTGAAATCCCCTTTTGAAAGTACAAGAAACTTTAAGGGCCCGTTTGGTTGATGTTTTTGGCCTCGGGTGTTGGGCAGAAAGACTGTCAATCTATGAGAGAGATAGAGAGAAATGAATTATGCACAGAAATTAATGCAAATCAGTGGGGCCCATGACTAATCATTTCTCTCTATCTCTCTTCTTTCTTATAGAGTGCTCATGTGCACTCTATAGAAAAACCGAAACTTTAAATACCAATAAAGTTTTCTTTTCCATGGACACATTAATAAAGTTGATAGTTGAAATTCATGAAATGAGATTTAACGTGCATATAATTTGGTAAATTTCACAGTGATGTTAGTCTATAGAAAATAATATGACCACAGTGTCCCATAGGATCATTCATTCATGAATTATTGGACACGTGGGGGAAGTAGATGAATGAGATTTTGTTCCATGTTATTAGAAGATTATGTCCCTTGTTTTCCTTCCGTTTGTTGGAAAGTTGCTTGTCTTCAAGCTCTCCCCTTCATCAAATCACTCAAGCGTATACAGTGCCACTTCCAGGCTTCCAGCTACGAATTTGGACCACCACAACAATTTTTGTAGGATGCTAGGGACTCATACATGACCATTTTACTAAAAAAAAAATCATGCGAACAACTCAAGTTGGAAAAAAAATCATACAGTGAAGAAGCAGAGTGAAGAGCAGAATGCGACACGTGACTCGTACTAAGGGGCTGTTTGGTTCCCTGTTTTTGAGGGAAAGCCATTGTTGAAAGTCTGCCAAAAGTGTCACTTTTTAGCAGGCTTTCAAGCAAAATCTTCTTTTTTAGAGGTGTTTTTGTTTTAAAGCCTGCCAAAAAAGTGACACTTTGGCAGGCTTTCAAGGGAAATTTTTTTAACCAAACAGCCCCTAAATTTGAAGCTGATAACCGCATCGTCACATGTACAAATAGTAACTTTGTAATGAGTTTTATGTATTGATTTAAAATCGATGCTAGATGTGGCTCCGACTTTATAAGCAGGGTTTGGAACCTTGCTATAATAGTTCGATACTAGAGATAAAAGTTAAGGCGAGGATTTTCTTTTTCTCTCCGCAAAAGATTTCAGATTTTAATATGACTATTAAATGGTGGAAAGGCTTTCACTTTTGTATTTGGGTCTAGATTGAAAGTGCTTTTCTAAATCAAGCGTTTAGCTCAAAAGGCTAACCCTAGAGTTTATTGGTGGCCCCCGCCCTTTTTTATGCATAAAAGCTAACGCGCTCATTAGTTTGTACCCAAATTTATGTGTTCAGCATGCCAATAATTTTATTTATTTATTTATTTTGCAGAAATAAAAGGTACACACGCTGCTAATTCTTTTAAGAGAAAGTGGTTTTCATTCATGCTGTTTATGTGGTTGTCGGAATTTGGCAGAAATCTAATTTGATTTCACAACTAGTTTTAGTGTGACTAGGCTCAAGCAATCTTTTATTGCGTAAAATCATAAATTCATAAATTCATAAAATAACTGTGAAAACATCTAATGTGATCATCATCTAAAAATATTGTAAGACTGTCTTAAACCATACAAAGGCAAGTTAAAAACCTCCAAATATCGGCAACCTCTCTTTTGTATGATTTCACAACTAGTTTATCCAAAGACTTGATTTTTGAAGTTTGTATAAGACAATCAATATCAAGCACATCATTTACTTTGGAGCTTTGCTACAGGGACCCAAAATATGGGACCAATAGGGGGGACAAGTGAGGTGTCCCCCTCCTATTGGATAATGAGTTGGTCATCATTAATGATGACCAACTCATTATCCAATAGGAGGGGGACACCTCACTTGTCCCCCCTATTGGTCCCATATTTTGGATCTTAATGATGACCAACTCATTATCCAATAGAAGGATGACACATCACTTGTTCCCCATATTAGTCCTATATTTTGAATCCCTGTAGCAAAGCTCAGCATGAACATAATCAAACATACTCCCCTACTAACGTGGAATTTTTTATTCTTTCTAGTTATCTGGTGCTCACTTATGGTGATGTGATTTCCAATATATTCCCCAACTAGTAAAAAATAAAATAAAAAATCATTCCGAACTAAATTTTCAGTGTAAATTTTTGTTGCTCTCAGCAGAACCAACAAACTACGAAAACTTGTCAGGTTCTCTTTTCCCAAGCACCACTCTTGTGGCTCTTTATAATGATCAGTTCATGCCACCAGCTCACTTTATGCTTCTGGAATAAGCTAAAGTTTTGGCAGTACAGCTTTTCAAATTAAATACTAGGTGCAGTACTTTAACCAGAAATATTCTCAAAGGACCCAAAATATCAACAGGGAGACATGTGAGGTATCCCCCTCCTATTGCATAATGAACTAACTATTTCATTATATAATAGGAGAGGGACACATCACATGTCCCCCTATTAGTCATATATTTTGGGTCCCCGTAACAAAACTCTTTTAACCATGACACAAAAAGAACACAGTTTTGATCCCATTTCTGTCAAAATTTACTTCCTTCGACGCTCTGTTCCAAGTTAATAAGCTCACACTGTTTTTCACGGCTCCAGATCTTTTACCTCCCCCTGAATGTTTTAATAAGCTCACACTGTTTTTCATGGCTCCAGATTTTTTACCTCCTCCTGAATGTTTTAACATTTCCATAATTTTAAGCAACGAAAGAATGAAGAAGACACAAGAAATGCTGAAATTGTTTACGCTGAACCCTGTTTTATAGATCAACCAATCTTAACAAGACAGAAGAAAATACTGAAAATTGGAAAATATAGTTGCCGAAGAACTGGGAAGTTTTTTTACTTGAGAATGATCCCCACCAGGAGCAAAGCCTCTCTCAGGTTCTGTATAAGCCACGAGTACCTTATCACCTGCGTGCAGATTACCTCAAATTCAATTCCTTATGGCAACTTTCAACAATATTAAGGGTACCAGTAAGGGTTTGGTCTTGAGCTTTCCACTATTACTGCAACAGTTCAAAGTAATACACTCGCAGCCAGCTAAAGAGACCCAGCGGTTAAAAGTTAGAGTAAATTGCACAAAACACCCCCTTTATCTATACCAATAGTAGCAATTAGCACCCTTCAATTAATTTATTAGAACTTAGCATCCTTGGATTGATATTTTTAGAAGGATAAATTGCTTTTTTGTATGATGGTTTTTTTTTTCTTTTTTTGGGGGGGGGGCATGAAATTTACCGTAAAAGTTACATTCATGTGCTTTGACCTGCAGAATCCCATATGCCTAGAAGAATGATTATATTCTTCATACTGTGTTCTTAACATTGTTTTAGAATCCATAGAAAAACACAGGCTCCTTACAGAATTGTGACTTCAGTGTGAAATAAGAAGCTAAAATATCTATGCTAGTACAGTTCCAAGTAGATGCAGGGTGAAATGTAGTCCCCATTAAGAATTCATGAACCTATCCTTCACCTCTATTCATGCCAACTCTACCGCTTTCGCTATTTCACTATCTTTAATTAAACACTTCACTATCTAACCAGCTCACAGCTGACCCGTAGCGGAAAATATTAGAGAGAAGCACAATGCAGATTTTTCTGGCTCTATCCTAAAAAGCATGTCAAAATATAAAGATATAACCCTTAACTCTCACCACAGGTTCAAAGGTTTGATCAACGGCAGAATTGCACAAGTTCCATAGTTGGCGCGACAACCCACGAGCAAGTTGGCGCGATGTAAACCCTGAGATCCAATGAGTGCAACACTTTATTTGGCTTAATCCAACGTAAAAAATGGTTAACTGTTCTTGTACTTGGCTCCCTAGTTTTACTATTTAAACACATCAATATGTTTTCATACAACCAATGTCGGACGATTAGTGGGGCATAACAGATAATGCTACATTTAGCATACATGTCAACCACATAATTGTGCACAAATGCCTTCTGGGGACTTTCTGCAAATATTAGAACACTTAACTGACTCATTAGGTTTCACACATTCAAAACTCGTCCCACCAAAGAGCTGCATGCATTCTCCGCTATGAGAATCACCAGCAATCAGGATATTCCAATACCTAATCTCTTTCTGTGGAATATGATCATAATCTCATTATCAGGCAATAATATATTCATAGTCAGCATATAAGCCGATATCGCAGTAGTCCATGAAACTAAGTCCCTGAGGACTTTTCATCAAGAACTCTTTTATGCAACTTTCAAAACACCAGCCTTGCCACAGCATGCGATCACGGAGTGGCAGGGTACAACAATTTCCTGCCATAGTTCTCTATAGATATTTTGATTCTTGTATAAACCTAACCTTTTTTTTTTTAGGAAAAAAAAAGGTTAGGTTTATACAAGAATCAAAAGGCTGGTGTTTTGATTCTTGTATAAACCTAACCTTAGCACACATATCTAACAACGTCGTTCATGCGTAAGTAGATGAATTGAACCCAAATTTGATGAAATAGCGTGGATTTGTTCTCATTTACATACAACCTTAAGAAAGGAGCGTGCTTTAAGCACAAATGTAAAAATTGTTCAAACGAGCTCCATGCTCAAGCATCATCCTTCATATTTCCCAAAGTCTTGATGCATCAATGACAACAACTGGCACGTACTTCTCATCTACCGTCCATTGAATCTAAATTTTCAGTTTATTGTCTGCCGGTACCATCAAATTTAAGACCCAAATTAACATGCACTAAACGAGCTCTGAACCATGAATTGAGATGACACTCCATTTTCTGATGCTCATCCCTACGCTGGGAAATTCAACACCAACAGCCCAAATGTACTTCACATTCATAAGCTTAGATTCAAAGATTACATGTAATATACGCTAAACTTCGAGACATTAATAACTGTAGCGTCCGCTTATATTTATTAATTCAATCAGTTATAAAGTTTGTAATTATCATCATCGACAATATGCACAAAAACTCAAAATCAGGATTTGCTCCATCATGCAGCTACACTAAACTCATGATTCTCAATCAGCTACCCAGATGCTTTAATCTCTACACCATCACTCACTCTCTATTATGTTCCTCCATCTGAGATGCAATGTATAGAAGTACAATGTAATCGTACTTGTATTTAAGCTTCTGAGTACATATATCTGGGTTACACCTTAAGCATCCTTGAAATTGAACAACAAATTAAGGTCCAAGGTCAGAGTTTTAGCATCCAGTCCAGTAACATTCATAAAGGTTCAAAGGTGACAACACTAAACAACTATAAGCTCTTAAATATCGCCTTGTTCTGACATAAATGCCAAAATTTGCAATTTCGTAGCACGCCTGACTGCAAATTACAGTGTTGAACTCTGAAAGTTCAACATAAGATGCTCCGGTCAACAAGATCCCACCTTTTTATTCCACTCATCATTCCTTAACAACGTTTCACCAAAATTTCCGTGAAAGGCATAAAACCCAAGAAAATTCAAGCTCAAAGCAGGAAATTTTAGGTCAGACATCCTCACCGCCGCTTCGCCCGCCGTCTCCATCCAGACTATTCAATCCTTCAGCCATCATCCGCTGCCTGTTCTGCGCATGTCTCTCAACAGCAACAAAATACAAACCTACAAGAAATAGTAAAAAAGAAAAATAAACATATAGTTAATTAAGTAGAAAAAAGAGGAGGGAAATTACTTATGGCGCTTCCAAGAGCACAGATCCAGAGGATTCTCTGTGACCATTTGTCCCCGACGACCCCTCTATTTCCCAAACCCATTGGGGTTCAGGGAACAAGAATTTGAATGTTGAAACCCTAGGTTTTCGATCGAGCTCTCTCTCTCTCTCCCCCTCGACGAAGTGGACGAAGAGCCGGATCGAGACCCGTGAGCTTGCTCAGGGGCAAAGGAGTTCGAAGTTTGGATCGAGGAGTAAGGCCCATTGGGTTTTGGTTTACAATTTGGGTCAGCCCGAAGCCCATAAGGGGCTGTTTGGTTGTATGTTTTTACCATGTAAAAGGATGTAAAGTGTAAAAAAGTGGGTCCCAATGTCAGCGTTCATCACTTTCAATTGTTTGTTTGTAGTTGTGAAAATAGTGTAAAGTGATTTCATATGCTTATGTGGCTTGTAAAGTGATTTCATGAAAAAAAGACATGATTTTAGGAGAAAGCTAACATTAAAGTTAGGAAAAAATAATAAAAAATAATTCCAACCAATATGATCATTTGAGTAGGGACCACTTTTTACACTTTCCAAACAAACAATTAAAGTTTTATTTTGCAAACCAAACAAGTGTTTTATGATTCCAATGGAATCAAAAACAAACAAAGAAAAGTATAAAAGTGAAATTGATGAGGTGGACAACAACTTTCCAAGTTGTGTCATAAATACACAACTTTACCAACAACAACCAAACAGCCCCTAAGAGTTGATGAAATTCTCCCTTTTTTAGGATTTTTTTTTAAAGACCGTTTTTTGAAACTTTATTAGCAAAGTTGACCTTTTTTAGATGTACTCAGCAAAATTGACCTCGTTTTAGCCGTGTCATCATGGTCGGCCAAAAAGAGGTCGGTTTTGCAAAATGTAATTTTTAAAATACGCCAGACTAGTAATCTCATGTAATTAGTGTCGACTAATCCAATGATAATTAATTAAACTTCGGACAATACATTATAATAATTAAAAGTTTATTAGGGTGTAATTAGGTACCACTAAATACACAGGACTAGTAGTCCCCGTGTACTTTAAATTTTTTATTTTACAAACTCGACCTCTTTTTGGCCGGTCGTGATGACATGGCTAAATAGGTCGATTTTGCTAATTATATCAAAAATAGGTCGATTTTGCTTATAAAGATTCAAAAAGGGCCTTTGTTAAAAAATTCTTCTTTTTTTAGTACTCAACAAACTTTTTCGAAGTTATATTGCCAAATTATAGTGCGGTAAACCGGACTATAAATAAATGAAGAAATATCATATCAAAAAGATTTAGGGACCATGACTTGGCCTTAGATATGTTTTACAATAGATAATGGCTTTAAAAAATATTAAAAACTTTTCAATTATCTTTGATGCCTGATGGTAGATTGATATGAGTTGCTATTCTGAGAAAAAGTTTTAGTGTGGTTGGTCGCACCAAGTGCTCAGATTAAGTGAACCTCTTGAGGTCGAGAGGGTGTTTGCAGTTATGCAGAGGATATCGCTGAGTGGAAATGATGTCAAGGTTGGAGAGCGCAGAAAAAGTTTGAGATAGGTGACTCAGCAAGCCTTGAACTTTGCAGATGATTTTTTTGAGGGCAACCCAACAGCCGCCCGCTAACTTGGTTGTTGGTAGGGGTGGTAAACGATCGAATCGAATCGAATACTAAGGTGTTCATATTTGTATTTGTTTAAAATTATCGAATTCGAATGCGGACTCTAATATTCATATATCCAGTTTTTCGAATTCGAACTCGAATATTTGGTATTTGATAAATATTCATGAATATTCACGAATTCTTATCAAATATCAAAGTATATGTATTCCGCTAAAGAGTTTGATTTTCAAATAGTATTAAAATTCTTAAAATAAAAATATTCATTTATAACATATGATGTATATATATTTTATTTAGAAAACATATTTAAGAGTATTTAAGTCTTAAAATCAGTATATAAACTTAAGTAGAAATAAGTGGATTAAAAATATGACATCATATGTGAAATAATACAAATAATAAGATTTGATCAAATTTTAAACCAATATTTAATAGACAAACAAATTGAATATACATCTGGTTAAATTCTATTTATTAGTAAACTCGAATACTAAAAAATATTCGTTTAGTGGTAAATGAACTACCGAATCGAATATGACCGAATAGTTATTCAAACAATTACCGAATTATTTATTAATTATTTGGTTCATTTCCACCCCTAGTTGTTGGTAAATATCATTGGAAGCTGCCACCGCCTGGAGTCATGAGAATCAATTTGCGACACATTACGAAGTGGTTGAGAGAGATTATAGAGGAAAATTATGCTTTCTTGGTCTTAAAGAGAAGCACAAGGGTTTGGCTCATCACAATTGTTAGAGGGTATGGCTATTCGAAGGGCTTTGGAAGTAACAAGGAATTCGGAGCTCGAGGCAAATTGGGATCGAGTCTAAGGCCCCGTTTGGTTCCGGTTTTTGGATGGGTAAAAGGGGGAAAGTTGCCAAAAAGCTGATATTTTTAACCGCTTCCGCCCCTTTTACCCATCCAAAAAACAGATCCAAACGACCCCTAACGCGCTCGAAGCAGTGAATGAGTTGCAAAAGAGCGGAAGTTGTGCAAAACATAATGAGTATTTTGTGGGTGCGGCTTTTCAAATTGCTTTACCTTTCAATCCTCCTCTCTTTTGTCACTTCCGAAAAAAAAAAACAGACCATATGGCAGCTCACGCTCCAAGTTAGCACGTACTTCACATTTCTAATTCTGTTCATTGGTCAAACAAGATCCTTGGCTTTTTTATGCTAGATTGGAAATGGATTATGCACTCTCTAATACTGTTTAATGAAAATTGGGGGCCTAATAGCGATCACAATGATTTGGAGAAGAAGAAATTTTCCAAACAAACTCATTCATAATTCTTTTTCTAAAAATAGACACAATTAAGTTTTATTTACAAAAATAGACTCATTTTGTTTTAATCCGGTTTCTAAATAATCGGGGTTGCCAACCCCGACTATTTAGTGCATAAAATGTTAGGGTTTAGGGTTATAATTGAGGATTTACAACCTCCTAAATAGTCGGGTTTGACAACTCCGACTATTTAGGAACTAGATTAAGATAAAATGATTTATTTTTTTAAATAAAACTCAAGGGGGTCTAAATTTAGAAAAAAAATATGAATGAGTTTATTTAGAAAATTTCTTCATTTGGAGAATAGTATCGAAATAGTAAAGACGCGAGGGACCCATACGAAAAAAAACCCAACAAATGAACGCAGCGCACTCTCGCTCATCCATTCCCAGTTCTCAGCGTTCCCAGCGCTGAAAAATATGGCGCGGGCGCCGTCACCGCGTGGCGGATAATCCCCCGCCCGTCTCCATCGAGACGACTCCTGACAACCAACGCGCCCACCACCCACCAGCGTCCCGCAGCCCCTCCTCCTCCACGGCCCCCGCGGCTCCGGCAAATCCTCCCTCCTCCGCTCCCGTAATAAATGCACCCCCGAAGCCCTAACCCTGATCCTCTCTCTCTCTCTCTCTCTAAAACCCTAACCCTAACTCTCTGTACCATCGCAGGTCTCCTCCCCGAATGGAACCGCGGGCCCCACTTCACCGCCTTCGTCGACCTCAACCCCTCTCCCTCGTGGACCTTGGACCCTCCGTCGCCGCTTCTGGATATGAGATCTCTCCTCGAGGGCCTCCGTCGAAACCCTAGCTCGGTCCGCGATCGAGATGGGCGCCATCTCATCCGCGATGGTCTTTAAGGCCTCGCCAAGAGCTCACGTAATGCTCCTGCCCCCCTCCGCCGCTGCGCAGGCCGCGACGGCGTCCGATTCGAAGCTATGGCAAACAGGGCAGTCTTCGATCGGATCGGATCGGTACGGATCGGCGCTGGTGGAGGTGCTGTGGGAGAAGAACGATTGGCGGGAGTGCGCGGTGGAGGAGTGCGTTTGTGAAGGAGGCGGAGGCGGCGCTCGGGCGTTGCGAAAGGAGGTTTTTGAGACGATGCGGGAGTGGAGGAAGGAGGCGCTGAGGATGATGAATGCGAAGCGGGAGGTTTCTCGAGGTTCGCTTTGGATGATTCGCTACAAGATTCGGCCCTGGTTTTGCTTGTCAAGTTGTTGTCGGGGGCCGCAGAGGTCGATTTCTTTCAGGTAGAGGGGGAACCCCTAAAACCCTAAACCCTACTTCAGAATAAAGATTGAATTTTTCATTAGAACTTTTATGTAATATTCTTCCTGACTTTCTGTTGTAGTTGGATGGTGAAGCTAATTTGACGGAAAACCGTAAACTTTGATTCATACTAAAAGTTGATCTTTTAAATTTTTTGTGGTTTTGTTGTTCCTGTCTTTTCCTTTCTGTACTGAAATGGATATGACTTAGGATCTGTAACATGTGCAGCCAAAGTTGGTTATAAACAATATCGATATTCTGCGAAAGGCAACCACAACAGACGATTCAATGGTGCCCGCTGCGATGTACCATGACAGTTTCATTTGGAGATTGATAGCGCTTGGAGTGAATGAAAGGTGCTTGCCTGTCATTCTCTCAACCTCAGATGGGTAAGTCATGACACTGTCCATCTAATGCTTGGAGACAAATGGCAATGAATATTTGAACTTGATCCTGAGTTAACCTAAAAAGACATATGTGGAACATATTCCACCTAATTGTTTGTGATACTCATAGATCTTGGATGAAGCTATTCATGTCATGTTCTAATTGTTTACATTGAAAGGTGTGATCATCGTGGTCTGAATCCTGCATTTATTTGAAGTTGTCAATACCGATCATATTTTAATCAATTTTATCGATATAAATTCTTCTTATCTCAACCATGTAAGGCATTTCACTGCTGCCAGAAGCCATTATGGACAGACAAATGGACAAATAAATGCTTTTCTGTGTTGGTAACGGTCTCTTTTGGAAGTATTGAGGGCAATCATCACATCACAGCCACCTTTTTATGCCTTTGTGACTAAATTAACACTTATAATGGCCTAATGAGATAATAGAATCTTTACAGTGGAACCCAATTTTGTAGTTTGAGCATATATAAAATATTTGGACCACTCAGTTTCTCATGATGGTGTAGTCTCTAGATTTAATGTGTGAAGATATGCATATGCCTCATATATTTTTTCCTTGATTTCACAGTGGAGATTTATGTGAATTTGCAATAATTTTGTACAAGGAGTTCCAAAAATTGATTTTTCTACATAGAAACTTATCATCACATTGTTGTGTTATTGTTTAACTTATTGTTGTGGCATCTGTTTCGAGAATGCTTCGATTCAATGTGGAATATTTTCTCTTCATTTTATGAAAAACATTATGCATCATTTTTTATTACCTCTTGGAGCTTTGCTTTTAATTCCCTTACCTCAAAATTTCAGCTACTATTCTTATCAAGCGTTTGTTGATTTTGGATTCCCACATGTTTTCCTTTCACGCGAGGTATGTTCGTGTAATTCTCAGCTACTATTCTTAGCAAGCGTGATTTGAGCTCCAAGTCACTAACTTTCTTTTTTGGACTTTCAAAGACATTTGGCTGGACCGTTCAGGAAGCTAAGCTCCATATGGTCACCGAGTATTTCAGTGAAACTGAGGTGATGTGTACATTTGACCCTTTCAGAATAAATAATTGTTCTTCTACATCGGTTTCTATTGGGATTTTTTTGTTTTTTGAGTGAAAGCTTCCAAGCTATAATTATAATTTAATATTTGTTGAAGTTGTAGTGGAAAGTTATTGATGAGGTTCTTGGCACAAACCCACGACATCTGTCCGAGCTGTATGCCCTAAAGCAAAGCAGTAATTATCCAGAGTAAGGCACTTACTTTCTCTCTCTGCTCTGATAGATGTACATATAGTTATATACATTTTATAATAGTTTGTGTTGTTTCTTTTACTTCACAACCTTGTACTTTCTATTTATATCTTACAAGCTTGAGTTAGGAAACTACTTGTGCCCACATGAGAAGTAGTCTTATAACAAAAACTATGGCTACGAAGTAGTAATTTGACCAAATACTCGAAGCTTGATAACTTGATTGTTTGTTTTCTATATTATTTTCGTCATCTGTTTTACCCCCTACTTAACTAGCATTTTAACTTAGACCTTACATGTAGAAGTAGTAGCCACCTCGTCATCATCAAGCTGGTAACTAGTGCACACCTGCTTATCTCATTCAGTTACACATAACTGGCATATTTAGATGGTTGTGGCCAGTGGGGGCTCTAAAATGCTTTTTATCTCATTATATAGCATAGTGTGTCATATTTCCCTGCAGCATCACTGTTATGTACTAAGGCAGCTTTGCCCCTACCCAAACACGGCCATATTTGTTAAATGCCAGGCTAAAATACTAGCAAAATAGATAGCTACTACTGGGACACTTGTGTCTGGAAAATTGTTTTTGGACTGACAGCATGCCATATTCCAAAAACTAAGTGAACTAGTTTCACTACTCTTTCAACACTTTTCTGATGACTATTTAACTTGTATAAAAACACATGTGATATTAAATAATAGTAGATTTAAAAAGAGTTACACACTAAATATCCTTTCTGTATGAAACTTATATTCTATATCGTTTATAAATCTCTAAATAAGTTCGAAAAATTTATTGGTAACTTTGATTGTAGCATATACAAAATCAAGTATACTATAGATACACATGCACGCACACACATGAATATATAGGTAATCATGACTTATGTTTTTTCCAAATTGTGCATCCAGTGCTCATGTCATGTTTCATATCTGGTGTCCTGTATTGGTAACTATGATAATGATGAAAACGAAAATAAAGCTGCAAGTAAGAGCCATCTGCCCCCAAATTAAGAGTCGAATGCCCCAATATTCTAGTTATGTTCTTTCTCTCTCCAAGAAGGGACTTATTTGTTTGCTGCTGATTTTTAAGGTAAACGTGATTGCTTAGTGCTACCATTTCGTGTGAAATTGCATCCATGCAGATATGCTGTGTCTTAGGCATATTGCCTTAACAGCGCAATTAAATTTGACTTTTCAGCCTGCCTTTTGGATCCCAAGAGATGCCATAGAGTAGTAAATGCTTATGCTTCACATGAAGGCTCATGCTTAAACCTAAGCTTTAACTTTTCATAACAAGAGTATATCAGATCATGTTAAAATTCCATGAATAATGGAATGGGTCATGCAGTATTGAAGGGATAAGGCCAGTTTTTAATGTATTGGAGATGAATGAAGTCAGAGATAACTTGATCTTTTGGCAACTTGAGCTAATAGATAACAATGTAGATTTAGAAGTGTGATCCTTTCATAGATGTTGGAGATCTACAACGGTGTAGAATTTTTTTTTCTGTGCAACCGTAGCTTATTATTATGCTCAAAGGATGGCAAGGAACCAAGGAAGCAAATACGTTTTATTTTATCCTTCAAAGGATTATGATTAGAAAGTACTTAGCTTACACTTCCACTTAGCTTATTCTCTCTTTTTTTATGTTTGCTAGATTTTTTTTGTTAGATTTTTTTTCCTGCATGTATTAATGAGTTGATAAAATCGGGGAATTCATTTAAACCTATACAAGCCGAACTGGAAGATTATGAAAATGAAATTGTAATTTTCTGTCAAATGATAATGACTTTTCAATTGATTTTTCAGTTCCTATTAATTTTTCATGTTTCTTTTTAATTTACAGAATGCTGCAGGACAGGAGTAGCTTTGAGGACATAGTTGATGCCTACTTGGCATATTTGCAAGTGAGTGTTCATTCCTTTTTTTTGTTTGTTATTGCTGTAACTAGTCAATTAGCTCTCATTTTTTTTTTCAAGCTTTGACTAGATTACTACTAAGTAATGATTTATATGCTTTATCTGGAAGTTTCCAGGTTTCTAGTTGACATGAGATACAAACATGTTGTTATCTTTTTTGGAATTGAATCTGTGCCTATCATGTATATTTGAATTTATTCTTACTATTTGTTATCCTTGTCTGTTTTTATTGTTCACTTACTAGGTAACTGTGGTGAACCCTGCCATTGAGTCTGCGCTAGCCATCCTTCAGAAGTTCGCTGCTGATGTGCATAATGGAAAAATTCCAGAAAGTCGGTTGCAGTATGGTGCCCCTTGGAGACATCCTCCTAGCAAGGATGATCCTTCTGCAACCTTCAAATGGGCAAAGATCCAGCTGATGGATTTTGTCCAATCTTTTGTCAATACTGAATTCGGGGTAATATTTTTCATTATTTTCCACCTGTGCTAAATTTCTAGAAAATAGTTATGTTCTGATGAAGTATATCTTGGTTTTTCTTTAACATGTTGATCTTATTTGAATTTCTTGAAAATGCTATAAGAGTCTCCATGGCTATGTTGCCTGGATACGGGTGTGGCTAGGGACACGGACATGGGTGTGGATATAGGATGCAGCAAAATAGTTAAAGTTAGGATGCGGGAACACGGCTAGATACATACATATTAAATTAATAATCTATATGAGATCGATGTTGTTTTTCATGCACAAGTTATGAGAATTAAAATGCTTATATCATTGTTATGTTTTCTTTTATCAAGTAGATTACTAATTGAAAAAACACTCATATTTGAACTAGATACCCAAACTATCCTTTAAAATCATACTTATGAACTAGATATGTGCTAAAGCTATGTCCCTTGGAGACACCCTTGCTTGTTACTGTTTGTACTGAATGTATTCTGGAAATAACTGCCTGTTTTGCCAGATAATCCCTTACCAATTTGACTTCTTGCATGATGATCCTGACACAGTTACATCTTACATCTCAGAACAAAGTGAAAAAAACGGGGTGACTGGTTCAGTTTGAGTGGACTAATATATATGCCTTATCATGTTACGATTGGGTGGCTTGTCAAAACACTAGAATTTTTGAGGAGCAGGAAGTTTTTGGCATCCTTTTTCTTGGAAGTCACTAGGTCTCAAGTGGGTCCTTTTAGCCAACAATATACTTAGATGATAGGTGTTTCCATTCCAGAGAATGAAGATTATTAAAGCAAATTCAGGAAGATTTTCTGGTTAGGCAAGGGGGTAAAGAAGCTTGTAGCTAGATATTTTAGTAATTTTGTCACTTGGGAATGGTAGGTTCTCTTGGGTTTAGACTTTGCTGGTGTATTAGTTTTAATAAAGCCTCTTCATATTTAGCGCAATCATTTTTCTTTCCGCTAAAAACTTTACATCATTATTTTTAAGCACTTCATCAAATTATTGTCAAGTCTCTGTCTTCAAAAAGTGTACTTTATGTTGCGGCACTTGTCTAATTTGCCAGATGAATTATCTTGCTGATTATAGCCTTGAAATACTGGATGATCCTTCAGCAGTTGCCATGATGGAGGTACACAGAAGTATCCTTTCGAATTGATTTGGATTTTTTGGTCTGATTAGCTTGCAGTAATACTGTTATCAATGCCTAGTAAGTTTAAACCTGCATCTCTCTTTTTTAGGTTGGGTTATTATATGTTCAGAGAGATCCATCTTTCATTCGTCCAATCACCCGAGGGATTCAGAGGTGTCTTACCAGATGGTGAGCTTCTTGAACTAACTTGCCATCTATTATTTGAATGATCTTTAAAGATTCATCGCCTATTCTTTATGATTGGATTTCAGGCTTGTTCAGGAAAGGATGCAGATGGGTTTCTATGATTCCATACCATATTTATGGCAAAGAATCATACGTGGCAGAAGCTATCGTCATTTGATGAAAGAAATCGGCTATAAATAGTCTTGAAAGGTGACACTAATGTGTTTTCAGAGTTTTCCATCTTCTTTGCCATCTTTCTTTCTCTACACTTTTCACTGGGTTATTTGTTTTGGCTGCAGGAACCTTTCGAATGATATTCCTCTTTCTAGCTTAAACTCGAAAGACTTGTTTAATTCAGTTTTGTTTCTAAGTTGTATTTCATACTCTTCGGACTGGTCTTTGGCTATGGCTTGCTTTGTTAAGCTTGCTCTGACTCTTTTGCCAGGCTCAATGTAAGTCTTGCAATTCTACTTTAGCTATTACATCTCTTAATTGAGCACTGTTATGGAATTGATATTTGCGTTATCAAAATAAGTGATTTAGCAGAACTTGCTGTTCTTTGGCAATGTGTGATCTGACACCATGTGTAATTTAGGCAAGGTAGTTTGAATGAATGTTAATAACGAAAATGGGTTGTGTAAACGCTTGTCCTCCTGTTAAGGGTTAAGGAAAAAACCGTGAAATAATGTAACACATAATGTAGGTTAGATTGTTTATTAATTATTTAGATATTTTATAGATACTAACAATTTATTATAACTTTAATACTTAGAATCATGAAAATTTTCAAACATAACATCACAATTATCAAATATAAAGATATAGTATCACAATTTCTTAACAAAAGTTAGTCATATATGACCAACAACGATTCCAAAAAGCATAATCAAATGATCAACTATGTTAATGTCGTCAAGTTTAAGGCAATAAAAATAAGTCTAAACACTTTCAAATCTCGAGTTCTTGACTTCAGAAAAATATTTTAATTCCTTGTCAAGTTCACTACATCAACTAAACTAAACATGATTATGTAACAACAGTAAAATATTTTGCATATATAGAGATTACATGCAAATTTAATTTCACAAACTCTGATATTAACTGAAAACTCAAAACTAAAACCTAATTAAAATCAAATAATAACTGAAAGTCATTATCTAACCAACACAATTAACCTACTAATTAATCTCGCTATTATAATTCCGTGACAGATCTTGGAAAACGATGTTGAAGGGCAAAGTAATGGAGCAACAAGTTTGATATGATTTATGGTAGATTGGCAATATAAAAGATTGAAATTTGAAAGGTAAATTCATAATCACTATCTATTTGAAGGATATAAATCGTGATGCCTGATACGTAACTGAAAAATAAAAATTTACCTCACCAGAGTTGCAGAAGCTGCTAATAGCCGGAGGAGTTTCAAAGGAGGCAAAGAGCTAGGGTATGGGTTGGAGGAGGCGAAGAAATCGCATATTCACATGAAGAGAATAGGGTGGTCGTAACTAAAAGGGGTAGAGTTTAAATGATTTAGACGGTGGAGATGCATCAATGCATCCTAATCAGAGATGAAATCTTACCTAAAAAACCCATGTTAACTGGCTATATAATATAATGCACATTTAACGCGATATAACGTGTTTTTTTCTAGGTTAAACATTTTCAGGGTTAAATGGGTGTGTTACGTAACAAAAGGGCACCGTTAAGTTTCAAAACAGGTTATAATGGGTTATATAACAGGTTTTTTTAAACACTGGTTTGAATTACTCCCATCTCTAAATTTCTTGAAACTAATATCATGGAGGAATTACATGTTCTTCTCCAAACCAGTTGCGCACTGTACCTTCATAGTGATTGAGTATTGTAGTATAAATTATCTTTCATTCTCTTCTTCAATTCTATGTAGTAGAAATATGGTTTATGTATGACATAAATTAAAACTTTTTGCTACAGAGATGAAGAGGCGTAACATAGAGATGGAGTTTCTTTAGACTGACTTTACAAGGTAGAGCCTTTTCTTTTCACATGCAACTTTTAACTTTTTCCAACTGTAGGGATTGGTGCAACGTTTGTATATTTCTAAACATCAGCTTAACTGCAACCAAATTAACCAAACAAAATGCTTGTTGACTGGACTAGCTGTATTTTACAGTCGATATTAGCTTTATGTGAACAGTTTTTTTGAAGTTATTTTAGATTAGTAGAGCATTTGATCTAGTTAATCACTTTGACTAGAGTTTGACGTTAATTAAGTATGATTTATCATGAAATTTTGTTGGTTTATGCTTAATTTCTTGAGTGTTCTCGCAATATGTATAATTGAAATTTCGACCTATCACTCTTTCTTTTGACAAAAAAAGATGTAAATATAGGTAGAAATGTATGTACGGTTACTTACAGTATGATCTCCGATACGATTTAAATGCTAGACTTCTCAAAATTATGAATCATTCTTTCGAAGCTGAGATGGATGGTGTTTGTTTAAAGTGATAGGATATAATAGGTGGTTATACTTTCTTGCCCATGCATCTACTATATCTGATGAATTGTTTGGAGCAGCATGTTCCAGCGACGGGGGATCACTGGGGGCTAGTGTTCGGAGAATTTAGGGTATTATTTGAAAAAGTGGAAAGTATGACGGGTTTATTGACAAAACAAACTAAAAAGGATATTCAGGGTTTTTTTTTGCTTGAGGGGCATTTTCATTATTTTGTCTCATGCTTGGCGTGTGCCACGTCAGAGATGACAATGTTATTTTTGGGGGTTAAGTGGGAAAACTTTAGGAGTGTTTAATGGAACTTTTAATGTTCACAGGGACTTGTGGATTAAGTGCAAAACTCCCAACGGTGAAGGGGTTTTGTAAAATTTACCCTATTGCACTATTGCTTCACTGCTTCTTGAATCATATAAAGTATCAAGCAAGTATCTACGAAGTGTTATTGTAGTTCCTTGTTCCATTTCACCTTGAGGAAATTGTTTGTTCCTTGTACACAGAGCCCCAAATAGCTACAGATCCAGCACCAAAACAACAACGAAAATGTGGGTCTATGCCCTGACAATCAGGACCAAAACAGAAATAACAAGAACTTGGCACAAGGTTGCAGATGAAGGCCATAAAACAACAATTAGGCCTCATTTGAGTTCATTAATTAGTTTTCCCTTCTTAACTACTCACAACACGAAAATCTCCATCATTACATCCATCAACTGAAACAAAAGATAAATACAGAAGAAATTTAGGGAGAGAGGGGGCGAAGAAGGGGGTTGAAAAGACGAGGAGCAGTTGAGGGAGAGGAGAGGAGAGAGAAAGTCGGCCCCTCCCAACCATATAGGGGGGGAGGGGGGTGTTGGTTTTGGAGTTCGGGTCGGGTTTAGGAGCAAGAGGGTTCTACTTGGATGAGAAAATATCAGGATTAATGAGCTAGGCTAACTGGGACCGGATGATCAGTTAGGCCAAATCTCATTTGACCTTCGCTAATGAATCCATCACTTTGGACTGGGTTGCCTGCAATAAATGCCTCAGCAGACCCATCTTTTTGTGGGCTGCCTATCATCATCTCACCTGACCCGGCATCAAGTGTCAAGTATTAGATATTGGTACATATTCATGCTGAAATTACCCTGGGGGGGATTGAAGAATATGGTATATGCTAATCTAATCCAATTTAATGCCAATTTAAAACTTATTAACAATTATATCTTAGCAAGTATGATATTTAACAAATTATGAACAAGTATATGTAATTAAAAACAAGGGCGAAATAAACATGAACACAAGATGCAAATGAGATAGTGCGCAAATGACAATCGCAAACACACAATATGATCACGGAGTTCGTTCACCCTCGAGCTACGTCTTCGCTCCCCACTCTCGAGGAGAATCTCTACTATCCCAACCGGTTTTCAACGTTCATCGAAAACGTTCACAATCGGTTTTCAACGCTTATCGATAAACGTTTACAACACTCACGCTTGTAATCAACCGATACACCCTCTAAGTGTTGGCCTGACCCGTGTCGACTTCCTCAAGTGTTCGGATTTACTACATCTCCCTAGGTTTTACTACCGACGCCACTCCTTTAGGAATCGACCCTGTCTCTCACCACACACTCCTCTCGGTGTACTTATGTATTATAATGTGTTCACTCAACAAATAAGCTCAAATACAAATTCTTTTGTTCTCTAACAAGATGAGAACTCAATTAAGTTCACACTCAATGTATCACTCACCACAACCCAATTATATAGTGTATGAAATACTAAAAGCTCAATAGGTGGTGTGTATGATCAATGAGCACTATCGGATATAAACTCAATATAAATTCTAGCTTAATAAAATGAATAAACAACAAATAAATATATAAAGCTAGAAATTGAGTTTAGAGAAATCTTCTCTGAAAATAAGAAAGAGAGATGAATGAAATTGAAGCTTAAATACAGTAGAATCGATCTCTTCTTCCTCTTGTGAAAGCTTCTTCACAAAACACTTGTAAAAACCACACTTAAACAAACTTAAACCCTTGTAAACTTGTTTTAAAATTTTCTTGATATATGCAGAAGTTAGAGGGAATGAGATATATATAGGTTCATGAAACAAATCCCAAAAAACAAGAAAATCCAAGCAAAAAGATAAAAAATTCGAAAATCACGCGAGCTAAAAAACTAGCCGTTACAGTACCATCAGTCGACTGATACTGTTCATCAGTCGACTGATGAGCTGATCGTTACAGGCCGCTCATATGCTATCGGTCGACTGATGAACTCATCGGTCGACTGATGAACTCATCGGTCGACTGATGAACTCATCAGTCGACTGATAACCTGCATCAGTCGACTGAGCAGATACTTCTGCTCTTTCCAGCGCGTTTCATCGGTCGACTGATAACAAGGATCAGTCGACTGATAAGGTGCACATGTGTTTTTTGAACAGTGAATATGAACTTTGAACCCTCTTTAAAAATATCAAATAAATTCCAAAAAAAATATAAAATTTGGGGAAATGTTTATAAACATGTTGCAAATTTTTTTTTAAAAATATCATTTCCCGTTTGTAAAGACTCTTCGTTTTGCTAAAACTTACAAATACATGTATATTTAAAACATTTGATTTTTGACTTTTGGCTTAAACCAGGTTATGAACTCTTTTTAAATTGATTTATAGACTTAATATAAGATGTATACAAGGATTATTTAGTTCATAAACCAATAACATAATATTTTCATAAAATACCCAAATTGTGTTAAAACCAAGGAATGCGTGTGTGCATAATATTGAGCTTGAAGTATCAACACACAATATATAAATCCTAAACTATTATACCCAAGTAGTAGCATATGAAGCTTGTTCTTGAATCTTTGACTTGATTTGTATAGGCTTCATTTCAGATATCATCGACCTGGATATATAATAAACACAAAACACTGGAAACACACAGTTATAAATTGTTTGTTAAATCATCAAAACAAGATTAGATAGTAGGCTCATAAACATGAGTCCTAACACATGCAATATATCTCATTGCTTCTTGTTAATAGTCTAGTCTGTCCTACATCTATTCCCTAGTTATCGTCGTGTCATATGCTTCTAAATCAATAGACATTTTAAATACTCTTCTTTTTTCTAATTTTCTGATGAAACATCTTTGAGAACAGAACAACCATCCTTTTTTTTTAATCAAAAGCCTCCAATTATGGAGGGGCCAACCACTGGCATCGCATCATAAATGAAATGGATGATTACAAAAGATGATATGCGGGACAAGTTCCCCGAATACCCAAAATACAAGAAATATTAAAGTTACACTCCAGTCTACAAAAGAAAGTCTCTCGACCAAAGTCCAATTCATCGGCCTCTCCTAAACTTAAAGCCCATCTTGTCGAGCCATAAGAGGTAGCGTGCCTGAACGGGAAGCTCAGTATCATGCAAGAAAAACTTAATTTCCTGAAAGTTGTGACCCATCTTCGACAGTAAATCCGCTACTTGGTTAGCTTCTCAATAGCAATGAGTAACCTGTAAATCAGCATCCCTCAAATAGGAATGCATCTCCTTCCAAGTCTTGTGAAGGTGCCAGAATGGGGATTTTCTCCCAATAAGTTGAACTAGATTTTTGGAATCAGAGTAGGCATTGACTTGGATACCCAAGGAAGATACCATCTCCACACCAGTGTGGAGGGCGACGATTTTGCCTTGTAGGCTAGGGCCTTGACCCGCTGGACCAGCAAATGCACACACAAATTCTCTTCTATGGTCTCTGATAATCCCACCCACTGCTAGATGCTTGTCTCGGCATGAGCCGTCAACATTGAGGGCGTAGCGCCCAATTGAGGGTGGTTGCCAGGAACACAGAAGGGATTTTAGCAGCTGGGTAGCGCGGGGAGATACCAATCATCTGGAGGGAGACGATGCCAAATTTGCAAGATCTCATCATCGGCTTGAGCATACCTTCAACAAGTTGAAGAGTGTTAATGACAACCATTCTCGCATGAGAGAATTCCCTCACCATTCCCCCATAAATGCAATTGTTGCGGAAGCTCCATATTTGCCTACATATAGCTATGCAGGCCAATCTTCCCACCATCGAGAAATGTGATTTCCCTTTGCATTTAAAAAACCACCACCTGAGTCTAGATTGAATCGATTGTTGGGGAAAGTACGGGACTGTGAAGATGGCACTGAAGTAAACCCACAATGTTTGGGCTAAATCACTTGAAATGAAAAGATGATTCAATTTTTCGATGTTAGGGGCTCTGCAGCAAACACATTTCGAGGCCAAGGTGATTCCCCTCTTTTTGACAAGCTGGTCTACAGGGAGGGAATTATGAATAATGCGCCAGCAGGCCAGCTTCGCCATCACTGGCATGACTCCCATATCTGTTTAGATATGTCACATGGAGGTGAATGGTTGCGGATGGATTCCCATGCAGATTTGACCGAGAAGAAGCCTGCCTGATCAGGTAGCCAATGCCTAATGTCATCATCTTCCGTCAATCGAGGCACAGATTGAT